ACCTCTGCAGATCTTGCAGGTCTGGGTACAGTGTGCCTCGCCTAAGCACTTTAAGAAGGAGACATGGGGATCTCCACAGGGCATAGGCTTGAGGCAGGATTCGCAGGGTTTGAAGCCTTGTGGTCCTGGCATCCCCTCCCCAGCCGGGGAGAGGAACAAGAAGGGGCAAAGCTCTTCTTTTGGCTAACTATTTACAGACTAATACTAAACCTAAAAACTATTTATAGACTAAGAAGGGAACAAGAAGCTAAGGGAAGACTAAGAGTCTAACGCTCCAACTGCTGCACGAGCGAGAAGGAGGAACTGAGGGGGTGGAGGGGCCAGCAGGGGTTTATATGCACTGTTATACTGGTGCCACTCCAGGGGGCTCCCTGCTGGCCCTAAGGGTACTGCTGAGGGAAAAAAGCTCCAAGATCCGTGCACACAGCGCGCACACACCTAATTGGAATGGACATGAGCAAGCACTCAAAGAAGAATAAACTTGTTTCTACGCTGCCTAAGAGAAAAACTAAAATCTGCGGAGGGGAAGTAGGAAGCTAGCAGACGCTCTGGATACAAGTTACAAATCCCACAGCTACAGAAGGGAACTTTGGCAACAGTTCCGGTTATCAGCTTTGTTTTATTACTCTGACATGTTGCAGTGTTGTTCCCAAGTAAGAAATCAGCAGAAGACTCTGGGTTTGAACTCAGCATTCTCCAATCGTGGCTTTCTAGGGTCAATGCCACACCCTGGATCCCTTACCAACAAACTGATGGAGCTGAGACATCACCTCACTTTTCCTCACAAATTCAATTGCTGGCCGCGGGGCTCAGCGAGTTTCTGAATGCGCTGCTCCTACGCATCCTGCCTGAATGCCTCAGCCTTCCAAGTTCAAAGAGTTGCTGCATCGCGCCCCCTCCCTTTTGGGCTGGATTACTCAATTAGGGATTATGCTTCTACCAGTCACCTCCTAGCCAACTGGGGCCTTGGCCAAGGTCAACATAAGTTCCAGCCAGTTTCATTAATAACAGTGAGACCCAGCCCACTGGAAACTCTGAGAGGTTAATCCCAGAAACAGATGAGCATTCCCATAACAAAGCCATGAAGAAAAACACAGCACAGAAAACACAGCTGGTACTTTACCAGCTAACCACTCCAACTAGCTGCATTACTAAACTCAGGGCAGGCCCAGGACTTGCCCTGCACACGAGCCCCAACCATGCTCCTGACATCTCACCCGAATCTCTAGCTGGGCCCTTAGTGGGTGAGAGGTCACTGACGTGTGAGATTTAAGTGACAGCTGAGCCAGTATGGGTCACTAACCTTGAATTTCTCCACTCTGTTACTTTCTAAACCCAAACCGCCTCTCACAGAGGAAGGGAGAGATTTGTTTAAGGAAGTCTACCTCTGAGTGGCACTGCCAGGACACAACACAATGGAAAAGAAAGGAACAGGAAAACACAGGAAACGGAACTATTGAATGCCTCAGAAGAGGTCTTTAGTGTCTTACAGGGCTGTACTGAAAGCATTAGTTAATGAGCTACTGCCTTTTCCATTACAAACCCTGTTTTCCAGGAATTTATTGTGACTAGTCTAAGGAACATGCAGTCAGGGTGAAACCTGGCAAGTCGATTGTTCGCCTCACTGTGTCATTATGAGTTTATTTTAAAAGGGTTAGTTCAATCATTTAAAATCAATTTATTTAAATCTACAGCAAACCAAAACTGACTTAGTCCTGAATACTTTCGTTATACCACAACTATTTTTCAACCGCTGTTTCAGACTGGTCCCCTTCCTTCTAGTTAATATTCTACTAGTTACTGGTCTGAAGTAAAGACTTTTATGTACAAAGACAGACAATAAAAGAACTAGCCAACAATGGAAGTTACAATTCCAAGTGAGCTCCTGGGTAATTAATTAATAAGTACGTGATTGCACCAACAATCTCTTGTACCGAAGAAAAAAAAAGTTATATATCACAAAGGAGACCAGTATTATCTTTATACATAGAGAAAATGAGGTTCAGAATTGTGATGTGATGTGCCCAGGGTCCCCAAGAAGGCCAATGACAGAACTTGGAATAGAAACCAGGTCTACTAATTCTCCATTTGGTGCTCTACTCACTAAAATACTGCTTCCCCTAACCGCATTCAATGACCTAATGAAAAGTAGGGATGTGAATTGTTATACTTAATGGGATAGGCTTACTGGTTCCAATTAACCAATAGGGGCTGGAGCTGCCCTACAGGGCCTACCACAGGCAGGGGCTGCCTTTGCCAG